AGACACTACATCAGCTCCCCATGTAGATGCAGCCTTTTTTGCTTAGATTATTTGCTATGCTATCTTATTAGCCCCTTGTGTGATCCATGACATAGTATTTCCAGAGTCCTACTCAGTAAGAAGTGAAGTTATTACAAAGTGTGGTGAATGGAAAGGAGCATCCTGCAGAGTGAGCATTTCCCCTAAACCCTTCTCCACCCAGGACCAGAATCTTTTCCTCTGCATGTTCTATATTGCGATCTATACCGTAGAAATGGTGTAAGAGGTAGAACATAAAAATGACGGATTTTTCCTGGAAATGAAAAGCTTTTTTAGAAAGGAGACTACATCACCCAGGGCCACAGCATCTGATGGTATTTCCCCAGTAAACAAGTAAAATATTGTCAGGTGAGGAGGACACCTTTTCTTTTCCTGTTGAATGCCAGTCCTAGTGAGCCAGGTTACTCAACTCTAATGTCCTGGACAGTGCTGGCTCAGGTGTGGCCACACAGCCCTGGAACCTAAAATTGCAGAGCTTAATGCAAGTGAAACTTACCATCGGTCTCAATATTTAAGCTATAAATCAAGCCAACAAATTGTAAAAGAAACTATGTCCTATTCTTCTACCTTGACAGATATATGTGTGTGTGTGTATATATATATATATATATATATATATATATATATATATGCTTGCAAAATGAAAAATATTAGAAATGCATAAATCAATGGTTTTTATACCACCAAACACTAGCAAACTATCAAAGACAGGTGCATAAATTTTTCACAGTTTATGTCTGGGTGTCCCATCGATGGACCACGTTATTTAAATGACTAACGAAATAAGCACACGAAGAGTAGTATCAACTTTTAATACTGCAGAATTTTCCATAGCCACCATCTATAACTGTCGTGGGACAATACACTACTGTGTGGTGAGTATCTCTGCAGCCACAGACTGGAAGTAAAATAAGCAAACAGCTTCTAAAGTAAGAAGCTGCTTGGCACTGCTGAGAAACAATACCTTGTTATGTAAGAATGAGTTGCATTTGTGTTATCTGGGAGGCAGAATTGGACAAGTTACTTAATATATTTTTCTCTTCCCTATGGGCTTCTGCTCTTTAACTCCTGTCTCTACTTCAAAGCCACCTCTCTCTTCATCATTCAGCACAGACACAATCAGCTTTTCTAGGACATGGGACATCAGACAAGCTCCAGCTTTTTCTTGGCTCCTGAGCAGTGTTAGTTGCAGGTTTTCCTGTGCCGGAACTGAGTGCTGCACCGACTAGAATTATTTGTCCTTTGTTTTTGATACACAGAACCAATAGCAGAACCCCCTCACACTTGCATGTAGAAGCAGTACTTAGGTCTGGCTTGTTGCTCAAGTGTTCTCAAAGACGGGAAGAATCTGAAAAGGCTTCCAGCCTGAACGAGCTTCAACAGAAACATGTTGCTATGAAGCTGCTTGACAGATTAAGAAATCTTAGATAACTCTACATAGGGCTCCTATTGTCAGCCTTGTTATTGCTATATGGAAATAAAGTTGAACATTTACTTATAGAAAAAGTATCCCGTTGAATGGATAAAGAAAGCGTGATATAGATACACAATGAAGTATCATTCAACCATAAAGAAGAGCAAAATCACATCATTTGCAGGAAAATAGATGGCACTGGAGGTCACTGTGTTAAAAAAATAATAATAAACCAGACCCAGCAAGACAAGAATCCCATGTTTTCTTTCATATTTGCAATCTAGGGAAAACAAGATGACATGAAAGTAGAGCAGGTCTGTTAGGGAAGAGGAAGGGGTAAGGCAGGAGGAAGGGGAGAGGGTGATGGAGAGGGAGAGTGGACACAATCAAAGAACATTATACACATGTATGGCAACGTCACAAGGAAACCATTATTCTGTAAAACTAAGACATGCTAAGAATTATAATTTGAAAAAGCACTCCATACAATTCTTCTCCTCATGGACATAGTCTGGTCTATTGCAGGAGAAACTGAGTTTTCTCCAGGGTTTTGTTTTGTTTTCTTATGAGAATGTCTGGTCCAACTGACTGGGGCAACATCTTGATCTTGACCTGTTTTCTTGCTCTCATAAATCTATGTCTTCATCTTTATCCCCCAGAAAAACACCCTGTTACCACTGGGTTAATTTCAGTTTAATAACAAGCACTGTCGATTTCTGATCCATCAAAAGTCTGGCCTTCACAAAGCATGTGTTTCCCCGGCAGACTCAACACTTTACAGGCTTTGAACAATGGGTATCTGTTTCCTCCTGTGAGGTTTCCAGAAACAAGCTTTTGAGAGCTGCCATGTGTTTATCTTTCTTAACACTCCAAGAAGCTCCCCTCCGTGACTCACACAGAAAGCTAGGCCATAAATGGTTGCTTATTCTCACTGGCTGGACGACCCAGCATGGGGCTCCCAGCACAGAGGAGGATTAGACAATCTTGGTGCATCATATAGATTAAGCACAAACAAAACCGCACCAACTTTCACTTTGCTGGGATCCTTTAAAGTCAGGGTTAACCATGAAACTTAACTTGCCATCTTTGTTTTTCCTGGTTTCGGCTCAAATGGGACAGGAAGGATCAGATATGACAGCATAAATGCATACACACAGTAGGAGTTTGTCATTCTCAAGACCTTACAACACAGTGTCCAACCTTAGAACTGACATTCTGTGGATGCTTAACACATATCTCTTGATGGCTTGATTAGATCAAATTGCTGTTGGTGTAGAGAAATACAGAAATACAATTTTTTTTTTGGTACTGGGGATCGAACTCCCATCCTTGTGCTTGAGCAGCAGGCGGCAAAACCACTGAGCTAAATCCCCAGCCTGATAATCACAACTTTATATGTAGCTTTAAGAATTCTTCAGCATATAGCTCTGTTATCTGGTTGTTTTATGGAGGTTTATCTTATGTAGCCACAGGTTAGTAATCAGCAACAGGCTTAAGGTATCCCAGTACAGAAATGTTGACATGTTTTTCACATATAGCATTCTCCTTTCTGGATCTTTTCCGTGCAATTTCCAGCTGTCTCTGTCTCCTTACACTGCATTTTCTCTCTCTCCCTTCCTCTCCAAGACCGAAGTATTCTCTTTGGGTTCTCGCCACACGCATGATGGTCAGGTAAGGGCCTTTAGGCAGAAAACAAGGACACTGGCTCATCCCATTGGTTTCCTTTCTTTTAGACATCACAGTTCTGACTGCCTGTTGTTCAGTTCCTGTTGCCAATGTCGTGTTTTATCCAGTTTTCTCATTGTTTATGGTAGAAGGATAAGTCTACTGCCAGATACTCTATTATGGATGGAAGTAAAAGTCTCCAGTCACATAATTTAATGGCCCAGGACAGTGTCATGAGAACATAAAATCTGGAATTTCTGAACTCAACTTGAAACTGGTGTACAGAGGAGGATTCTGTGCCAAAGATGGCCACATGGAAAGATGAAAATGTTAAATTCCTGATGACATGGAGACAGTGAATTATAGCATTATAAAGTATTGTTGAGATATTAAAGTATTATTTCAGGTAATAAGTTCTTATTCTGGGAGAATAATAAATTCTTTACAGACAGAGTGAATCGAGTCAGAGTTTTCCCTTATTCCCACCAAGGAGCCACTCCGGTCTTCATGGAAACAGAAATGGTTCTCTAAGGCGCAGTGCAGCCAGATGACGTTCACTTTTAGTAACTTTAGTTACTGAAAACGGTGCTTTTGGCTTTATCTAGCTTTCATCTTGAAGTATAAAGGAATCTAAAGCAGAGCTGTAAAGAGTATAACTCTTCATAATCAAGAACAATTTCTATAAGTAGAAACCTGTGTAGACTGGAAATAGCACTCATAATTCTTAACTGCACTTCTGTGAGTTTGACAAGTTAGAGCAATAAACCAAAATTGCAACAGTCTGCTCTTCTAAGAGCCAAGACTCTGGTCAGTTGACTCCAAAGCTTTCAAACATTAAAGAAATATAATCCAAATTGTCCTTATGAGAATGTTGACTTGCTAATTTCCTCAGTGATCTTTCTTTATAATGTGTCTGGATGCAAACTATCTTCAAAACAGCCAAACTCAGAACACTTTAATGACACATCACAACAGTTCTAAATAAATGGAAGTTTGGTTTGCATTAAAATAGATTTAGAAAAAATTATTTCCCTAAATTAAACTGGGAAAGCTATCTTCTGTGACTGTCACTAGCAATCCCAGCTTCAGCTTTGATATATAGGAACTGTAGACTCAATCCATCAAATTCAAGCCTAGAATAACTCAACATTTATTAATTTCCTTAAAATACACATGTGAATATTAAAACATAAACATTTGAAAATGAATGTATTTAAATGTCAATTTTGGGATTCTTTCTCTTTGTAAGTGTAGAATACGTATATAGGTGCAAAGGCCTAAAGGAAGAATGTGCATAACTAAGTACCTGCCTCAATGTTGGGAGGTGAGTAAAAGCAAAAGGCTCTACTGTGTCATTGTCATGCCACCTGGGTCAATTATTATAAACACCATCAATGTATTATTATTATTATTATAAACACTACAAAACTTTATTTCTGTTTTCACTTAATGCTGGTGCAGTCTAATTAATGTCCATAAAGATGAGTCATAACAAGTCTATTTAAGCTTCGGAAATGATATATTAGGTTTACATCCTAGCCAGCCTTCCCATCACTGAGACACCGTGGCCCACCCAGACACGCCCAGAAGTGTGCTTTACAAATCCCCCGGGAAGGTCCCCCACCAATCCAGTTGACAATCTAGTTTAAAGGTTAGCTGTGCATATGATGTGGAACCTTAAATCCTATCAATAAATGTTTCATTCTTTTCCTTTAAAACCCATTAGTCTGTCTCATATTTTGATAATATCTTTTATTTTGTAGACTTACGCATTGATTCTTTGAAACACATTAGTTCACTGGGTCGGACGGATCTTACAAATGTTTACACATTTCACCATGATGCACATACACAAACACGTAGTTGTCACCACCAATCTCACCTGAAGTCTTCTTGTGTTGGAAAGCCATCAAAGTGATAGGTTCACATTTATTAACATTCAATTTTCATCTTCACTGTAAGTTGTCAGTAGCATGAAGAGCTCTCAGTTGTTCTCCCTAAAATAATAGGACCACTTCAATTTCTTCATGAGAGAATGTCTGGCAAGCACCCAAGTTTGAATGACTATAGTTTATCTATGAGTTATTTTTTTAAATAAAAATTCTATTCTATAGAAAAGCAGCTAGTTTGGTATTAATGATCACTGAGTGGCTTTCCTTAAGACAGCTAAAATATTTCAGCAGAATTGCTTCATAATACTTCCCATTTCATCACAAAGAATTTTAAAAAGACATATATGCAAAGGTCAAAATCTAACAGTACTAATCCTTTTTATTTCTTCATTAAAAATGTTTGTAAGTATAACTGGACTTGTTAAGAACTGTAAGTGCATTGCAATGAGGGTGCAATTACTAAGAATGAGTACAGCAGGAAGTAAAAGCAAAAATCAAACCAACAAACAAAAAAAACCCTTTTGCTCCCTGCTGCTCTGCACTATAAGAGTGCCATATAATGTATGTTTTTTGGGGGGTTTTTTTGGTGCCGGGGATTGAACTTGGGACCTTGTGCTTGCGAGGGAGGGGGCGGAAACACTGAGCTAAATCCCCGGCCCGCCATATAATGTAAAAAGGAAATACTGTTAGTATTCTGAAAGAAAATAATTCTGATGTTGCAGACTCCTAAAAGGGCCTCCTGGAAGTTGGGGGTTGAGAACTACTGCTTACACATACTCTCTGGTATAAATTTCTGATTTTTCCTTCCCCATTACTGGTTTTGCAATCTAGCAACTATCTTGAGAATGTTTTCACTCATCTTCATTGCTTTCCATTTTTCTAGGTACCAAGACTATGTTAATTACTGATGTCATGATGCTTGAAGTAAATATTGTACATCAACATGGTTGATGAAATCATGGAAGGGGAGATCGTGTTTAAGATTGTAAGCATTTGATAAGGTGATGGATGTGTGTAAAGTTCTTACCCCAGGGTGTAACATCCACTAAAACATCAAAGTTTCTTTGTGCTGTAGGCTTTCAAAACATATCTACTGAATATGAATGGATTTATTTGGTTTTGCATTAGTCTGCTTTACCCATTTCTATCCAGTTGCAGGCACTGGGGTCAACTATATTCATTGTATCTAAAGAGAGGTAGTTGTTCCATATTTACAACTCAGCTTTGCATACGTGTTTGGATTATAGCTCTATTCTCCCTATGTCCATCTGGACTCTAGGTATAGTCCTACTTTGAATCTCAGCCTACTTTGCTATGGCCATGATGTCTCCACCTACTTTTTCAATATCCATTCATATTGGTCATGGCCCTCCAAATTGATCAGAGTCTACCCAAGACAAGAACACTGCCCCCATCTGTTTCCATGTACCGCCTGTCTACATCCTACTACTGTAGTGGCCTGCTGGGAGGTCAAGAGTCCTGGAACATTAACATCTACATGAATGTTGCCTAGGTTTGGACACAGATATTTTTCTAGCAATCTATCCTGGGGTTGGTCCTAAAGACAGATTGTGTTCCTTTATCCTAACCCCTTTACCTAACTTATGTACTTTTTATTGGTATGCTTGCATAAGAATCTACAAATCATCTTTTATTTCATTTTCATCATCAGTTTTCTCCATCACCATCATCTTTGTCAACTTTATAAGCTGTTATGAATAGCCCTCTCAGTGAATGTCAGCTAATGTGTCCCCTGGGTCCTAAATGACCTAATGAATCTTAATAATTTTAATAAACTCCTGAATATTGATGAATAGTGTCAGTCCTATTTTTGATACTACTCTTTCTTTGATTATAGATTTTCATTTGAAAACATCACCTGATTTGAGTGTAGAGAAAGATGTAGATGAAGGAGAAGATGAGGGTCAGTGAGGCTCTTCCAGGGTTCTAGGTGGGAGAGAGCAGTGGCCAAAGCTAAGGAAAAGGCAGCGATGTTGTAGGGAGCTGGAAAGACCAGCAGACCCCTGAGAAGTAAAATCAATGAGACTTTATTCCTTGGCTGTGTGAAGAGAAATACTTAGAGATGACGCTTTTCTCTTCGGTTTGGGCTACTGATGGACTATTCAGCCATTTTATTATGAACAGAGAAAATGGAGAGAATCAGTCTCTCAGGGTCAGGATCGAGATAATCTGTGTGATCTAAAAACAGCTAGATAACTGGACAGATGTACTTTGTAGTCCAGATACAGGGCTGGACTAGAAATGCTGAGGGATTGGTAGCCATCAGCATGTACTAGATCATAATGGAAACATGCACCAGGGTAAGACTGTTCAGGGAGATAATATAATGGAAAAGATGGTGGAGCCTAGAATTGGACATGGAAGAACATCAAATTTAATAAATATTCAGAAGCATTAAAGCAACAAAAAATTGAAGTAACATGGTCCATGTTCTCTCAGTAAACATTATTGATCACTCACTAAGCATTACTCAATCTTTCTCAAACCTTATGAACAACCTTCAAGGAAAAAAAACCCTGGAAATTAAAATGAAATAGACCAGTAATGACCTGATACCTGGAACTCAAATTGGGACGTATTCAAATTCATCTTAGTATTTCTAGGCTTTTATCAAACAGATACACAAATAAACGGAAAATCCCATCTAGTTTAGAACTGAGATTAAACAGGGAAAGGATAAAGAGATGGCTGTATAGATAATAGTACAAAAACTTTAGAAGAGGGAATAGTAGTTTGAAAGGCTGCAAGTTAGGTCACACTCCTCAGAAAGAAGTAGCTGGTTTAGGTTAGTTAATGAGCTGCCAAGTAGAGATGGCTCCCTCTGTGCTTTCTGGGATGTCTTTTACCTCTAGAAGGGGAGGGATGGACAAAATGTTGTGGGCGTGCTGCTGTGCAGGTGGGAATAGCTTCACAGTAGTTACTGGAACATCTAAAGAGCACTTCTTTCATCCTTAGCCTCAACATTTCTTTTGTTGTTGTTGTTTTTGGTCCCGGGGATCGAACTCAGGTATTTGCACTTGTGAGGCAGGCAGTGGCACCACTGGGCTAAATCCCTGGCCCAAGAAGTAGTAGTTTCTTAACCATCATAGTTTACCAAACAAAAAAACTCTTCTTTAATAGTCCCAGTATTAAGAACAAGTCAAGAAATGTTGAGGGTGGGCTGGGGATTTAGCTCAGTGGTGGTGCCGCCTGCTTCGCAAGCGCAAGGTCCTGAGTTCAATCTCCGATAGCAAAAACAAAAAAAACCAAGAAACTACTACTTCTTGATTGTTGATGGAGCATCAGAGATGAATATCTATAACTCTGAAAAGGCTACTACATAGGGGAAAAGAAAGAAGGGAATGGAATTAATATGAGAAAAAGAAAAAATGGAAACAAAGTCTTTGTAGATAGGGATGGGAGGAAGGGTTGAAGGGAGGGCAGGGGAAGGGGGAAAAAATAAGAACCAAGATGGATTACGTAAAGGTGCAAATTTCCAATGATGAATGTCATTATATTGTATACCTTAAATGTACCAATAAAATTAATTTTTAAAAAGGCTACTACACTACCCTTCCCTTTCCAACTCTACATTTGTATCAGGACACATTTTCTCCATATACTTCAATGCAAGCAATATAAAACAACAGATTGAATCTAGATGCAGAAATAAATATTCATCTCTCTTCTATTCAGCTAGATACCAAGGGGATTTGCAAAAAAATGTAGAACAATGCTGCTTCTTCATTAATTTTATGATTTGGAAAATATATTTTCATAAAGATACATTAACTGTATTTAATGAGTCTATGTTATTTAAAGTAAATAACCAATGAATGCATACACATATTCCTCATTTAACAACCTACCTATGTAATGACTGCCTGGACTTACAACTGATGCACACTGTTTGGAACTATGACCCACTGCTAAGACTTACAATCTACCTTTTTTGGTACAGTTCGGTACAGTTCTGTACATCTTGTTAATAGAGCCTCAATGTCTTTTATTTATACAGTACTGTAATTTTTGCTGATTGTACTTTACAGTACAGCACTGTAGTTTTATGTTCCATTATACTTTACAATATTGCACTTAAGAGTTATGCAAATAAAAGCAAAGTCATCGAGTTGCAGTTTCCTTGGACCATTTCTTTGTTCTGAATCTTGTAATGTACATACTAAGCCCAATTCCTCATTCGGTGACCAATTCATTTAACAACCTAGTAGCAGGAATGTGACATGATCATTAAACAAAGAATGTCTGTATTTAAAATTTCTTAGTTTTAATGCCTAATATCAATAGACCTCACCCACTTAAACCAAAGCTTGGTGTTCTCAGTAACTTTTAAGATTATAAGGAGACAATGAGGCCAAATGTTTCAGTTTTAGTTAATAAAACTTGGGAAGACTAAACAGTGTGACTGCCAGCAAACAGTGAAGTATCTCAACTTTAACAAAATGAATAAATATGAACAAAAATGAAGATAGAAGCCTAAAGAAGTATTGTTGAAAAATCAAAGACAGACTTCCCAATGATGTGAAGTTTGAAGGACATGACTAATTCTCCCATCCTGTTGGGACCACCCCATCATGTGAAGAATGGCTTCGGACATCACAGTGTCACCATTTTCAGCCACAGAGACCACAGATACATAAACAAGTTTCCATCCCTTTCAGGGAACTCAAAGGTTGTTCCAGAACTCTCATTTCTGTTTACACAGGAAGAAGGCTCCCTCTTGCTTACAGGCAAAAGAATTTTGATCCACGCTAATGCTGCTAAAAAGAGGGGGAGTAGAAGCTATGCATGATATAGGGGGAAGAGGTGTAACTCCTAAACCTACTAGATATCCGAAACGCAAGTTTGTGTTCTCTAAAATCGAAGAATGAATTCTAATAACAACAGAGGTTAAGAGTAGGAAAAATTTATTAGGAGAAAGAAAGCTTCTGTCTAAGAGAGACAGAAGGGGAACCAGAAAGTGGGTTACCCGTTCACCTCACTTTTCAAAGATGTTTTATACAGCAAAGCCATGTGGTGAGGTGGGTACGAATTGGGACAAAAGTATGAGACCTGATGGAAATTTACAAGGTGGGCATGAGGTGGGA